CAAAGAAATAAGAAAGGAAAAAATATGCAAACAATATCGGTCGCTCGCAATGTTTGGTAACAGTAATAGTAGTAGTAGTAGTAGTAGTAGTAGTAGTAGTGGTGGTGTTGGTAGTAGTGGCTGTTTGACAACCAGCACATCAGTTAGCTACAAATGGAACCGATAATACGATTGCTACTATTGCTACTGCAGCTCAACGAATGGGAATGTCGTTTGGAATTCACAGTTTGTTGGGATTAGCAGCAGCTCGTGATATGCACCAAGGTACCGCTGCAACCTATTTTACAACAACACCGCAATACTGTACTAATCAAACTACATCATTCTTTCCTCATAATGCATCACATTTATTTACTATGGAAATGCCACAAAGTCCATTTGATCGAGTCCAATATGAACCAATTAATCAGGGTAATTAATTTCATTTTTTTATCATGCTTATTTATCTTAATCAATTATTTTATCTACCATTCTATATATTGATTTCTAGCAATTGATTATTTACTTACCTATTTACCTATTTATTTGTTCTGATTCTCTAAACTTAAATTCATGCCTAACAAATTTTAATGAAGTTTGCATCAAATAATAGTCGTTAGAAACGTAGGAGTTAAAAAAAAACTACCTACAATTAACAATAAATTCAAACAATGAATCAAACAATAAATTATACTGCATAATCAAATAATAAATCGTACTGCTAACTTTTACTGTTAATTATTAGCTTATTATAATTAATAATAAGACAGGAATGTCGGGAATGGATTATACCAATATCCAGTCTAATTCAATGTTCGGAACGGCAACTGCTACAGCAAACATCCCATCACCAAATATTCAAAAAACCATTTCAAAGAGGAAAAAACGTCGCCATCGGACGATTTTTACACAATTTCAAGTAGATGAATTAGAAAAAGCTTTTCAAGTATGGTTAACACTAATTTTATCATTGTTATTCTAACAAAAATTTAAAATTCCATCCACATTTCTCCGTTGCAAATTTTAATTGCTAATTTTTCAACAAAAGCCTTCTTATGACACTAATAAGTGTTTCAAATTTTAAAGTACTTCTGTTTTGCTTTTGTTTTTAATTTGCTCAAGTGGCATAATAATGACTATAGTGTTATCACTCAGAAAAATTTGATCAAAACCAAATTCGTTTCTAATATCCACATTAGAATAGTTAAGCGATAAAGAAAAAGAAGTGGAAAAACAATCAAAACAGCTGTTTTTTTATGGTTGACTTTTAACAAGGCAAAAATAATGATTTTACTATTATTATTATTATTATTGTTACCTTTTAGAAGTGTTATTATCACTATTATTTTTGCTAGCTCCTGGTAAATCTAAATGTTTAAATTTAAAAAATTAAATACTTCCGATTCATCTTATAATGAATTGGCGTATTTGAACAGTTCTTTCTTTAATCTATTCTTTGTTTTTAATTTAAACAATTCAAAAAATTCCTTTTATAAAATTAAATAAAATTATTGCTTTTTTGTTATGTACAATAGCATTTGTTCTTTTTCTAATCTCCGACGCCAGTTTAGAATATTTTTTGGTATTATCTTTTGTTTTGCTTTCTTTTCTTCTTGAAAAAAAATCATGCATTGAATATTCAAAAATTTCATTAACGTATTGGTAATATGAAATTACACTTAAATATCTTGGAAAGCTTACAAGCTGAACAGTATTTTGTTTTAGGAAGCTCATTACCCTGATATATATGCTCGTGAACTGTTAGCTATGAAAACCGAGATTGCTGTAGATCGGATACAGGTAATCAATTAAATACTTATAAAATATGACCGTAATATTGGCTTATCATTCATTTTATCCTTCATTTGTATATTTTTTATACATTCTTCGTCTAAATTTTTCAAGAAATTTTAATATAAAATCTCATTTTCTATCCATTTTTCCTCCTTCAAAAACACTCTTCAATTATATAGGTTTGGTTTCAAAATCGTCGAGCTAAATGGCGGAAAACAGAGAAAACATGGGGTAAAAGTACAATAATGGCAGAATATGGACTGTACGGTGCAATGGTCCGACATTCGTTACCATTACCGGAAACGATTACACGATCATCCGAAAATCCAAATGAATCCGCTGCTCCATGGCTTCTAGGTCTGTTTGATTATCCTGCTAAGATAAGTTTGATAAAGAAGGATGACATAACGGAAACTTAGACATTTTGTTTTACGTTGCGAAAATATTATATGTATTCAACTTAGGTACCATAACAAAAATACAAATATGCTTCTGATAAATATTAGGATTATCTATCTTGTTCTATAACCATTACATCATAATTAATGCATCACATATTGACTGTAATTAGATGAAAAAAAACTGACGCAATTGATGCCATATGTTTTTCCTACACCATTATCCTACTCTCTTATCTTATAAAACTTTAATTCTATTTGTTTCCTTTCTCTTTTTGTATTCATAAATTCAATTTTCTTTCAATATTGAATTACAAACATAATTCGTTCGAAATATTCCTTCTTTCTAACAATTTTTACCATTGTAAAACCTTGATTTGATTCGAACGATTACATTAGATGAAACTAAGGTATAATAGGTATAAAGTATAATAAATATAAAGTAAGTATAAAACTAAGGTATAATTAAGGTGTAATCTTTTTTTATAAAATTACATCAATTTCATAGTATTGAATAAACTTATCACTTGATAATTGTAGTTTTAGAAACTAGAAAAAAATTGAACGCAATAAAAAATAAAACGTAATTTAGCCAACTTATTAATCTCAGCTAAATAACTTAATTACATGCTAACTGGTGAACTAATTAAATCCTAACTAATCATTCAAAGAGCATTTCGTATATTTTCAGGAATGCATAAGAAAAGCCTTGAAGCAGCGGCACATTTGGAAAATGGTGAAATTGATAAGGAATCGAATGAGGACGACAGATCGGTGGAAGCATGCTCACCGGGTATTTTGCTTAAGAATGATAACAATAATAATAGTAATGATAATAATAACAATAGTAGCAATAATAATAATAATCTCAATCATAATATTAATCATGATCAGCAAAGTACTAAATTATCCGTTTATCATCAATATGATGGCTTCCGATATTCAAACAATAGTACCAATGTTATTAGGCAAAAGTAGCTTAAAATAAGGATAAAGATTGAAGTGACTTTATAAAATTAATATAATCATTCTACAATTTTTGTGCATATGTTCAATATTGTAAGCCATAAATGATGGTATTATAATTATCACACTATATATACCATATTTTTAACATTAATTTATCATATCTCCATGTGTTCACCAATCAGTTTAGCAATTTATGAATAAAATAATGGGCACTAGCAGAAAATTTATTCATTAATCAGTTATTTAAACCAAAAAAAAAAAAAAAGGAAGTATGAAAAGGTTGAATTATATCCTACACAATAATGAAATAAAAATAAAATAATGATTGTGAATTATTTATTAATGATTGAATTTGAAATTTTGCAAATTTTTTTTTCAATCAGACTATGAAGTATGTTGCTTTCAAATTTTTTAAAATTCTTAAAGAAATCATGAATAAAGTAACGCTTTCCTATGATATAAAATGATTGCTGTATAATGACAATAATTAAATGTGACTTCACGAAATTTGCATTTCATTAATAAATTTTCATTATCAATTCTGATTCTTTTTTTGTTTTCCGTACAGTCCAACAGTTTCAAGAAGTCATCCTTTAAATGGGAAGAAGTCATCCATAAAGGTATCTCATTTTTGATATCGAATTATTTTCCAGCATAGCATATCTCTTCCCATTTAAAAAATTCCGAGATAATTACTAAACACTGGGTTTTTCAATCTAAATTTTACATTCAAATTTTGGTTAAATGTTGCACTATCCAAAAAAAAGATAATGTAAGAGTAATGTTAAAAAAGTGCTGAGATAGTAATTTCTATAGTCTATCCCAAATCAAAAAAATTTTTGAATTTTAAATACTCTTTGCAAGGTTTCCAATTAGCTATATTAATTAGCTACATTTAATTACAATCCGAAGTGTCTACGCCTTCAATAACAATGAATTGCTGAAATTACTTAAGTAAGAAACAACAGAGTGAAAGAGGGCTCGAAATATTACGGTATCTTTGCTTAAAATTTGGTTAATTATATACCTCAAACTCATTCGTCAATTCAGTTATAAGAAAAATTAATAAAATATGAACTTTTTACAAAGAAGTTAGTATGCAAGCAACTTAATCTCATTAACTTTTCCAATTATCAAATTTCAATGTTGGCAATTAAACTTCGTTTGATTAAATAAACTTCTAATGATTTCTGGAAGGAAAAATTCTGTAACAGTGCATGGAAATCTCACCACTAACATCTTTTCGAGTATGAATTTCGAAAAACAAAATCCAATGTAGACAGTATGAAAAAATAATGTGAACTGTAGATGATAAAAGATCTTCAAACACATAAAAGACACCACAAGTTATAAAATTTAATTATCTTATCAAAGTAGATAACCATTTTTAGGATTAACTTGATGAATAATTCCATAATATACCATGAATCTAGATCTACCTGAAACCTCATATTACCTTTCCTTTTTACCTGATAAAATTAGCAAACATTATAACCTTCGATATAATCCCTATTTGATGAGATAGAGCTAAGGTTACAATTTAAATTAAAGTCAATGCATTTTATCAGTAGTTTAACTAGCTAGCTGAAGAGAAATGAAATTTTGCTTTATGTTAAATAGCACAAGGAAAAAGAGTGAGGAAGGGGAAGAGGAAGTGAAGAAAATAAAATGCAGCAAATCCACTTTGGATGATAAATTAATATCCGACGCATGTCCTTCTTCAAGCAAGCGAAATGACATATTGACAATTTGGGATGAATGGATATCATGTTACCATAATTGCTTCAACAATCACTTGTGGCTACTGTCCAATTTTTTTTCACACGCTTCTCCAATCCGAATGACCTTTAACCTTTATAGTGTACAAACAATATTACTTCTCAATTATCTGATATTAGAAAGATTATAACAAGGTCAATTTTTGGATATAAGGTCATGAAGCATTCTAGCTTTTGGAAGGATGTCGATTACACGACTTTTTGCCACTATTAAACTAAATTCAAATGTCATTTTGTACAGATCAAAAGTCATTAGTGATAAAAAAAAATGAATAAAATTTTCAACTGTATGACCATTTCTTCGATTTATTACTTTCCAGTTTCAACTGCTTATGCAATCAAAAAATTCAACGAAGTTCAAATAACTGAGTAGTTATTATTATGTAAGCTATTATGTTAATTATTGAACAATATGAAAAATACTTTTCTGTACGACTATAATACGGCTCTCAGTATACACTCTAAAAAACATCGAAAGTTCTAAAATTTCATACTTCTTAATCTTTTAATCTAAGTTTAAAGATAATTTAAGCAATTTGGAATAATTATAAGAGTATGCATAATTATTACTTCAAAGTTTGCAAAATTTAATCCATAATAACAAATTATCTAAAAATAAATACTGCTTTGTCCCTACCGTAATTATCAGATGTCTCATCTTCATCATATCAGGTATATCTAATATGAATTTCCTTTCTAAATATTTGAAATTATTGTTGAATGTGTAGGATAACAAACTTCGAGATGTTTAAGGAAATCAATATCAATCCTTGACATATCAATTTGTGCCATTCAATTACAGATTGTAAGATGACTAAAAAGGGATAAGATTTTTCACTGATCAACAGCTATTAAAAGCAACCGTTAATAAATAACAAATCAAAAATTGTTTATATAGGAACTGTCCTGCATGACCAACGAACAATTGACATGTGAATTATGGAGAAAACTATTAACTTCATTTTAGTCTAGTCATACACTAAAATCAATTCGCATAAAATCAATTCAACTCTTCTAAAGTGTCAAAATAAATTGTTTCGTCCTTTACTATTTACTCTATGAATAGTAGTAATATCTAAAAAATCATTTGGAAAATACGTAAATTAACTGGTGAAATTTTAAAATTTCATCCATCCATCTATATATTTTTTTTCTAGCTAATGGAAAAATTTTGCTTATTAGCAGAAAAGGAAAGTGCTGAAAAATAATATAATTGGCATGATTAGTGGATCAAATAACTGCTATGTATTTGTAAAGAACCATTTACCATTACTTATCAAAGAAATCTCATCGATGAATCTTGTACAGGAATGGTAGTGTTTTTTTCTTCCAGAAATTTCCAGATTTTTCAAACCCCGTTCCCAAAGTTCCAGGGAAAAAAACTTCATTATGGTAAATTTCATGTTAACTGCAATCAGTTGAATTGATACCTTTCTCGGTTTGTCCCAAACGTCCAGCTCGACCAATCATTTGCATATATGTCAAACCATTAAGTGCTACAGGTCCACACATTTGTGCTTTGATAATTACTCGATGAGCTGGCAAATTTATTCCGGAACTAAGCGTTGAAGTAGCACATACTATACGCAACAATTGTTCATGGAATGCATTCTCAATACTTTCACGTTCTTCCACGGTTAAACCTAAATTATTTGATTGTTTTGTTTCTCTTTTTTTTTTCAATTCACTTTACAAAAATCGATCACTCATTTTTTTTTCCAGTTGTTAGCATATTCAACAGTTATAAAGTTGATATCTTGAATTCTCGTCGCTAATAAATTTACTATTTACTTTATTCTTAGAGTTAAAATTCTCTTTGATTGTGCTGTAAGATTTCATGGGAAATGATTACCAATTTCACCAATCAAACGAAATTATCAATCATTTCTCAAATGGCGTAAATTACTCTTTTGAAAATTTTAACATATTCCAAATTTTGACAGCGAAAGAAAAGAGGGTCTACTAATTTGTCTCTTATCAAAGCATACATTTTTGAAAAGGATAGATAATTTCATTTTGAACAAATGAATGGAGGATATCGGCAATATAAATGGGAATAAAGAGAGAGAGGCATTTGGGGAGAAGGTCATAAAAGAGAAATGGGTGGAAAAATTGAGGGGTGAAAATCATATCGGAATAAACGGAGGAATAAGCAAGCAAGAATGATGTTAATGATTCGGGAAACGATTTGGGAATATAAATTAGGCAATTAGAACAAATTTAAATAAGTAATAAATAAATAAATAGGTGATTACGTAAATAAATGAATCCATAAGTATCAAAGCGTTAATACGCTAATAATAATGACAATGTGCCCCTCATTATCCAATGAATAGCACTTAATCAACACTTTCAAAGAAGACCGTCTCCTCAATTGTTGCAAGATGACATTACCAATAATTGGTACACGGACACATACACACGTGTATGTATGCATCTGAGGATGTACATTCAAAAGTTTAGGAAATTTCAAAATTTTACGAATATTTCCAAAATCCGAATGAAATCCTTTCTATTCGAAAGTGCAGCAAAAAACTAACCAAGAATAAAAGTGGGAATAAATTATATATTGAAGAAGTAAAAATTTGAAAAGGAAAAACTGCACTTTAAAGCTCAAATCAATGGATTCAAAAGATTTGATTGTTATCAATTATTAAAGTTAGCGAAGTTCGAAAATTACGAATGTTTTCACTGAAGTAAACTTCAGCAAGTTATTGTATAAGGTGTTTTTTTTCATTTCGATGTTGATTGAAATTTTCTAATATGATCTAGAGCAAAAGACATATAGTTAAATTATATTCTGGTTCAATAATTACTCTTGAAATTTAGATAAAAGAAGGGATATTGTTCAGGTATGTTAAAATCTGTCAAAACTAACCAGCATGATGAAATGCAATTCCATATGGTATTGTTTTTTGTAAAATATCATCTACAAATTGTACTTCATGATGAAATGCTTGTTTAACTGCTTCTAGTGACTGTATATTCAAAGATGAAATAAGATTTTGGTTATTGCTCGATTTGAAATAATCGCCAAAGTGATGCGATATAGCTAGGGCAAGCTTTTCGGTTTCTGCTTTTGAACTACAAAATACCAGCACCGATTCGCCCTTCACAACAGATTCCGTACATAAGCTGAAGTAATATCGAGTTTATTCTTATATTTTCATGATTGAATAATTCCAAAAACAGTTTTTCGAAATCAAGAAATACTCATTATGAAATACATGTATCTACGAACTGAATACTTTCATGATTTAATTTCTCATGGGATTTAATAAAAGTTCTGAAAATTTGAAACGCTCGAAGACCCAAAAGTTACAAATCCTATTATTCTAGTCTGAAAGGCTTCAAGAATGTTATGTGTATAAGATATAGGACTGCACTGATATGAAAGTTGGATTAAACTGCAGTATATTTTAGAAACTTTACTAAATTTCGAATCTAAATTGGCGAATTTATTTATATTCTAAGAGAGAGTCCAGAGGGGAAATTTTTTAATGCTCTAAAAAATTTGAAGAAAATTTATCTAAAATCATACTGGATAATTGAATGTTCGATATCGTTTGGAACGGTAAATTCGCTTGATATTGTCCGAATACATTGTAATGTATTCACATCTCGTAGCTGACTATCACACATTATCATTTCATGTAACTGTATTGGGCGAAATTGTGTTTCATATTTTTCGGCATTTAGCCAGTCAGCTAGTTCATCCAAATTTGGTAATGTAGCGCTTAAGCCGATAATTTGAATTCGATGGCTACAAAGATTAAAATTTAAAATGCACAATCTATTTGAAAATGAGGACCTGAACTACGAAAAAAATAATAAAAGTTTGAAAATTTTCAAAAATTTTATGAAATTTTGAAAAGCCACCAAAAAGTTTTAGATTTTCAGAAATTTTTCACAAAATTTCATCAAAAATATGTGGATTTCGTCTAATAAGTTATTATAAAAAAAGTCGCCGCAGTATACATCCAGACATTCGTACTTTAAGAACCGAGAGATGTACAATACTTTCCCAACAATGTGCTCCACTAACGGGCCACGATTTCCATCAAATAACATATGAAATTCATCGATCACCAATACACCTAACAGAAGTTAGAATCAATAATAAATAGTAATTTCTCAATAGCCAGAAATAAAGGACTATTTACAAATCTATCTAGGATTATTTACAAATCTATCCAGTCAAAATTTTTTTGACGCAATAGGTAAGATGCATAAGTTTCGGAGCACTTTTTGCTAATAGATCAATTACGCATATTAAAACATGTCCACTAGAGTACACGTACGTATCGATGGAAATTTCTAGTTCGTTATGTAGAGGAATGTAATATATTTCTTTAGTAAAATATGTGCATAAAATGAGTTAGTCGATGTAGATTTGATTTTGAAAAAAGTAAGAAATTTAACCTATATCAAATATAGTTTTCTCATCGATCATACGATTTAAGAGTGAATTAGCTTTCTCAATTGTACATATTGATGCATCCCAAGCTTGAAATGGTGATGTTTGTGAGCCCATGAATGCGCTGACACGAAGATCAACTCTCCGCCATATTTTCTAAATAAATAAAAATTACAGAAAATTTGATTTAAAAAAAAATCAAAACTAAGCAATGATGTTATAAAAATATCAGTTAAATTTGATACTTATTATTAATAGAGAGATTGACTAAAAATAAGAGAAAATATTATTTAAAAAAACCGTATCATTGAAATGAAGTCTTTCAAATTTGATACAAAACACATTTTAAAATGAAACCTTAAAATGAAAAAAAAATTAAAATTTAAGATGAAATTAAAAATTAAAATTAAAATTTAAAATGAAACCTGTAAAGTAAGAAATTTTTCCTTGGCGACGGATATGTATGGAAAAACGAAAACTGCTTTGCAACGTAATTGTCGGACAGTATTTACGGCAATTAGTTCGGCAACAACCGTTTTGCCGGAACTTGTTGGAGCGGAAAATATGAAGTTTCCATATTGTGGAGCTTGCAAAGATCGATTATTCAAAACATCCAATTGCCAGGAAAGGAGGGCCTGAATACCATGCTCGATATATCCGACCGCGATTTCATTCGGTACCCACGACGGATAATTGAGCATTTGATTATTCAAGGCCCTAAAAAACAAAAACAAAAAAAAATCATATCATGATATAATCCAATTTGCTAAAAGCCATCTTTCGAAAAGAATGCAAAGAGAATAAGAGATAAAAAAAACTACACGTGGAGTAGAAATTAGATAACAGATTATGTTAGCATATTAACATGTTTCATTCATATGACAAAAGGCCAAACGGGAAGATTTAGCAGAAGACTATGATTACACTATTAGCTCCGCAATTTCTTTTAACTACATATGGTCATGCTTCATTTTCCCTTTTCGAAATTTATTTGCTACAATATCGTCACAGCAACTGTAAGATCCATTACACTTCTAATAAAGTCGAAAGTTGTGATTTCATGCAAGGAACCACGACAATGTCCCTTGTATGCAAAAAATGTCACTGTGACACAAACGTATTATCTGTTAGAATGAGAGCTAATGAACCAAAATGAAGTGATGTAGAATAACTTATAAAGCTGTATGGCACAGCGAGAAAAAGAAATATTTGTGATCTAAAATCATAAGATGGGAAAAGGCAGACCGAAACTGATCTATGGTTTCCCTGGACAGAACCTGAAGAATGTTTAATCGGATGATTCTTCTTGTTTATGGTTACTATCCTTAAACACTCTAAGCAACAACTTTAATGGAATTCGGTTTTTTAAGTACTGCTCAGAAAAACGGGATTATTTCAAGAAAAAAGAACAGTCACGACATTGGTAGTAATATATACTTTACTAATTGCCATTTATACTTAAACCAAGTTTTGCAGTACAACATCGTTTTAATTAATTAACTATCATTATTAAGGACTAGTATGTGATAGTCCAAGAGAGAATACGTCATGAAAGATAACATTTTCAAGACTTCAATGGTAAAGTCTCACACTTGACTTATTAGTAGCAAACAAAAAAGGAAAAGACATATTTCTTTCGATAGAAACTTAGGATCACCATTTCGAACGACTAATATGAAGTCCATAAATTCATACCTCAATATATAAAGATTATGCCACATGTATTTATTTTAACATAAATATTATTGCTTGGCAAATTCCCAATCCTGGCTATATCAGTTTAAGGCGAAGAAGATTATTGAGTGTAATAAGTTCAGGTTTGAGAAATTTCCAATGCAAAACAAAAGTTACAATTGCCAGTCCTTCAGGAAAAAAGAAAAAGAGCAAAATATTATATTGGAATTCCGACTAAATCTAGGTATCTAATTTATCGCAGCACATTACCTAATCAGGATGCAAAAGCCAACTTCATACTACTCAAACTATTGGTAAGTTACTCATATATACATTGAACTATCATAAAGCTCTCATTGGAAAAAAACATTTACAAAAAAAAACAAATCATTCAGCATTTTCATACAAAGTGATTAGTACAATAAAAAACTGACATAATGATTTTGATCACCAACAGCCATATTAATGAATTAGCCAAGAGAGATCCTCCAAAAGACACCATCATTAAATATCATTTAAATGTTATTTAGACCGAAGAAAACAAAATTATTCGATATTTCTATACAAAATAATGATATACAAAACAATGATATACAAAATAATGATATACAAAACAATGATATACAAAATAATGATATACAAAATAATGATATACAAAACAATGATATACAAAACAATGATATACAAATAATGATATGATGTATAGAAATGTCGAATAATCTTTTTTTCTTCGGTTTAAATAACATTCAAATAATGTTTGATGATAGTGTCTTTTGGTAAACCTCTCTTAGCTAATTCATTAATCTGGCTATTGGTGATCAAAATCATTATCTCGGTTTTTTATTCTACTAACCACTTTGTGTGAAAGTGCTGACTAATTTGTCGCTTTTTTTGAATATTTTTTCCAATGAGAGCTTTATGATAGCTCAATGTATATCAGAAAACTTGTAAACCTGTTTCTCTTTGCCTTATTCATGGAAATTATGCAGGAATAAATTGATGTGTAATAGTCAATGAATGCAGAATTACGATTCATCAAGAAATGACAATCTAAAATTCAAAGTTTCTTAAAAAGGTCGCGCGTTATAATTGATCGGTGATCCAAACCTGAGCATTGCTCAACTGTATATGTTGCATTCGGATTGAAGTCGGATTCCTAAAGGAGTTTCCTTTTTTTTTAAACTTTTTTTATTGACATAAGCAAAATGGAAAATATTATTAAAGCTAATACTGACTTCAAGATCTAGTCCAAAAAAACTTATATGAAAATAAATAAACCTTTAAAGTGACCTTGCTGCAGCCTGCAACAGGTTCATCTTTCAATTCTTGTTCCTGTTCCATATCAATCTTTTTCAGAGGAGCCTCGTTTAAAATGAAGGTATCACGGCGTCCAGGTACATTAGCTACACTGGAATTTTTGATACTTATTAAACAAAACCTTTTTAGCGGATAACATCCAATCTAACCATAAACCGATTCTCCGGGATTACTAGGACTATGAGATTATTAGGATTAACCGTCTACGCAATACGACGTCCACGCTAGTATTAATGCTGAAAAGGTGAGGAGTTCGAACTATGTTAAACTTGACAACTCCAGCCTTACATGATCATCCTGAAATAGTTTCTTCTAGTTGCTGAAAATTCTCATAAATGCATGAGCCGAGTTTCTTACTATTTCAAGCACTAAAAAAAATTGATTGCTCATATAAATTCAAACTTTCATTGAACTAAATACCAACTTAATAATAGAATTACTACATTGCATTTATCAGAGATAGTGACCTGGATTGACGTTTACGGATTATTCTCTGTGGAGTCGGATGATACGAAAAATCACTGTCCGCAGTAGATGTATTCTCTTCTTTTTCATCTGAGAAAATCGAGTCCAGATCCCTAACCTTCAAAAGAGTGACATCCTGTCAGTTAGTAATAACTAATAGCGAGTTTAAATCAGATATATAATAGTAAAAAAAAAAGAAAAATGGATACTTACAACTCCAAGACGTTCTACTGCTTTTCGATTTTCCCTTACTTGATAACTTTTAGCCAAACTTCCTTCATCACCTCTTTCTTCCATAATCTACAAATATTTCTTTCAATAAAGTTATCTGCAATATGCAGCTGACTGAGCTATACTCTAATTATTGATCGAGAAGCTACATGAAAAAGTTATGTATCGATAAATCATAATTACCACTCACTTCTGAAATGACATGCCCAATTTGGAGTAAATCTTAGTAAAATAAAAATCTGATTTCTGGAGCGATCTTAAAATTATAATAAAACTTACACTCTCTGATAGAGAACGACCAGACATGATACTATCCTTTGGTCCAGTCTTGCGACGTAGTCGACCATGGTAAAATCGTGCATTTGATTTCTAATATTCACAAGATTAAAATTATTTCCAAAGATTTTTGAAATACATCATACCATAAAAATAACAATATTTGTAGATTTCTGTCAGGAAGGAAAAATTTATTTTTGACAGCATAAACCTCTAAATCATGTCGTTTTTGTTCAAATGCTTGTTGGAGATTGGTGAAATTGTTAGCAGCTTCCTTTACCAGGTTCAAATTCCTGACAACATTATCGGGCAAATCAAAGTGCCCCTCGACCATCTCATTCCAAATATTTATCATATCGTGTTCCTTTAATTAAAATAGATAAAAACCCCTGCATTTGTCTCTTCTGTTTTTAATCTTCAAAAGAAATTCCAAATTTAGAAAATAACTACACCTGCTGAGCGTAGCACAGTTCAGCTTCTGCTAAGGTTCTTCGCAAAGTTGCCAAATCGGTTTTGGCGCTTTTAAACTCTGTCTTCGCAGCGTCCAACTTCTTCTCATACAAATTTTTCATTTCATCCATGTCTCGCCTCAGTTCTTCGATTACCAAATCTTTTTCCAAACAAGAACGCCTCTCGTTTATGGTCTGTAAACCCTCGTAATTTGTCTTTCAAAATTTTAGTCGATGCCTGTTGCTTCTTGAATTCTTTATAACCCAAAAATCTCCATGCTGACTGGATCCCAGAATTGACTAAAATTTAACAGAAAAATCAATTACCGCATCGAACAGACGATCGAGTCCTGCTCTTGCTTCCGTAAGATTTCGTAGAGCATTCCAAAGTTGTTCACGATGTTCATCCGAGTAAGCTTTTGTGCATTTCTTTTGAATATCGCTGAGTTCACTGCCTCGTAACTGAATTTCTTCATCCAAATTCTTCAGCTGCCCTTCAATCATTTCCCTTTCATCTTCGCCCTCAATGCCTACACGACCGAATCCAGTACGACGCTAAAATATAATAAAGTTCCCAAAATGATGAAATAACTAACAACAAAACAAAAAGAGGTTCGGCACGTTCTTTTTCACTTTCTCCACATTTTCTGTAACTGTGCAGAGATACCAATGAAATGAAAAGGCTTTAAAATGAAAAGCTTTAATTAAGGTTGAAACATTGTCAAAGCTAACGACAAACCTTGGCCGGCGGTTCCTTCAACAATTTCTCTAATGTTTTCTTTAATTTTTGTTGCTGAGTAGAAAGAATTTTTCGCTGTTCGATTAAGACTTGGCAGTGAATTTCGGCTTCAGCAGCGGAATAAGCTACAGCTAATTCATCGTTCAGAGCCGACTATAAAAGATGAGTTGGAGTAATCAAAAGAAAAAAAAGAAATTTAATCTAGTATGAAATAAGTCTAACTTTAAATTTGGTTCCAATCATTTTTCGTAACTTCCCCAGTCAATTTTTAAATGTGAGTGGATTCATTCCACTTCAACTCACAAAACGTTCAGATTTTTCATAACTACTTACGATAAATTGTCCATCGTAACATGCTTTTGCTCGAGTAGTACTTTTAGCAAGTTGCATCTGCAGACGTCGATTGCAAGCATTTGCTTCCTCATATTTGCGTCGATAAACAGCCAATTGCAGATTTTTTGCGTGCTGCTCTCGAGCAATTTCTACTTCACGTTTGCGTACCTTAATGAAGGAGATAGAGATAGAATTAATTGAATTGATCGAAATTTTTAGAAGGTATATTCAAAGAAGGTATTAAGAATGGAATAACTTTATAGACAATTTTCTTTATAAGAACTTTTCGCATTTCTATTAAAAATTGATTCCCATTAAAAAAACCGGGAACGAACTTGGTTTTTCAACTGAGCCATATTTCGATCAGCCATCATCTTCCATTTTCGAAACCTTACTTCTCCTTCCTTCATTTGCTTAGACATTTTCACTCGTAACTTCTTCAGTTCCTGTAAATGTATGTTTAAAAGCATTTTGAAAAATGATACTATAAATCGCAAAATATCTTCATTAATTAATCAAAGTAAATTATAACTAAATAATAGGAGGGAAGATGAAATAAAAAGACCCAATCGCTTTCAATTCTTTCTTTGGGTTCCAGGTCATAAATTAGATACAATATGCTTCTCTAAAGTTACTTTCAGGGTTAAAATCAGAAACTACAGTCTCAAAATCGCTGGTACAAAACATAAATTAGATCACGCAAGCGATACATTCTACAGTAATGCAGTGAAACACTGCAGTATTATAAATGATATAAAATTATGGCACGAACAAAGAACGGCCCTCTAGATCTGTTCATAGATAGCAGTAAATTTCGTAAACTAGTATTCAAAACTTTAAATTCGTGAAAAAAGTTTTTAAAAAAAGTAAGACGTACGCTAAGTTCCGTACTCAACTTCTTGGATTGCTCCTGTAAACGAATATTTTCTTTTTCCAACCTCTGGATTTCTCCCACCCTCCTCTTGCTCGCTGCCAATTCTCTCTCGAGTTCTTGAAGTCGTTTCCGTCGTTCTTCACTCAACCTTACAATAAATAGAAATTGATTATTTCAAAACACATCTTCCTTCTAAACTTTCTGCTTGTGGTGAACAAAAAGTAACTTGGACACAGCCCATACTTATGATGGATGCTGGATCCTTTAAGCTTGCTTAGCAACTCCTGCTTTTCCTTTTCCAGGATAATCAATTTCGCTTGCAGCTGTTCCATTTCAGCGGCATAGGTATCACGCATTTTGACGATTTCTGTCTGTGAAGCGACAGTTGCTTCAAATGCCAGCTCCTGAAATTCATCAAATATGATTTAAATTAATTTATATCGAACAACACCGTGGCTTTGAATTAAATAACAAACTTTTTGCTTGATTTCTTCCAAAATATCTCGCATGTCCTTATTAAGCGTTATTTGCTTTTCAGTAAAACGATTTACAAATGCTTGATCGGAAGTTTCATCATCCCCATCGTCTTCAGTAATCTAAATGGATTTAAAACCGAATCATTAGTCTTATACTAAAAACAGCTAACAGAATCGCTCATGTGCAGTAACATAAAGCAGAGTAACTTTTTCCTGTTGCAAACTTGTAATTGTTCTAGCACCGAAAAGCCATAGGAAACTTCTCAGAAAGAATTCTTACCAAAGGTAGACTTTCCATCAAACTACTTCTCATTTAATTTCTGGACTATTCCACAACTGAGAACCTACCTAAAACAAATTTTGGAAAATTAGAAAATTTCATTAAGTTATTAATAAAACAATTTACATCGAACACATCTTTTTCTTTTTCTTCTTCGACAGGGCCTCGCAAATTAATAGCAGTGTCCAGAATTTTCATCGCCTCATCAAATTCCTTATTTTCGTTTTTCCTCCTAGAAACTTAAAAAATTAATGTGAAAGTGAACTTTTCGTAAAGTGAAACTGGTCATAACGAATAAAAATTTACTTGATTTCCTTAATATAATCTTTCAACTGCTCAACAATTTGTTGTGAAGCCAGTAACTGCTCGACCAATTTCGAATTTTCCACCATGGCTTCCGCAAACCGTACATTACGACGATTGTAGTCTTCCTGGCTCTCTAGATTTTGTTTTTCTAATTCAGCACATCTCTTGCACTCTTTTGTTATCTCATTGCTAAACAAAACAATCACAAAAGAACAGTAATTTTCAAAGAAACTGATACAAAAATACTCATAACGCATTAGACTTCAAATGCAACTAGTTGAATAGCAGTTCTCCCCTCCTTCTTTTAAACTTTTTGAAGCTACACAAGACGGAATAATGAAAAGGATTTCTTTATTCATTACTGAAATTCAAAATCAACAAAAACTCTTGTAATTTATGGACTACTTTTTTTAGTAAGTTTACTCATTTACCAAAAAGTCTTACGTTGTTTGGTAATCTCCTAACGTTATAGCATTCTCTCCCGCACGTAGCATTGCCAATTCGTGTTTAACGCTAGCCAACTCATCCCTCAAACCTTGGATCAAGGCCATATTTGGATCGATGTTTACAATGGGCTTGTTCTTAATACGTTTTGCTCGATCCGCATACCGCAATGTTGACAGGGTTTCGTCGGCATTCGTATCAGCTGGTGAAACGCATGCTATCATCACCGTATAGCTGTTCCCTCCAAGAGAATCTGTAAGTGAAGCATGCTCCACGAATTTTCTAATATCATTTTGTAATAACAATACCTATAAATGCTAACTAGAGAAAAAAGAAGTATAATATATAATTACTACTACAATATACAATTCAAATTTGGGTTTATCTGGGAATTAGTAGATTGAAGTATAATTTAATTGAAGCTAACTATACTTACTGATCTCTAAAAAGAACAGTCATTAATCATCACGCGCAAGATATCACACATTTGGTCATTCAATTCAGAAAACGAATTTTCAATAACCTTAAAACGAAGTAATAAGAATGTTACAGTAAACCTTGAAGAAGACGTGTAATTTTCGCAACACGATACGGAATATGACGTCCAGTGGAATTTTGATCGGTCAGAGACGCAATCACGTTACCCAAAGCTAGCAAACCTTCATTAATTTTAATACCCTCTCGCATCCTTTCGCCCTCAGCTTGAGTCTTCTTTAAACGCTCAGAACCAGCTAGATCCACAAGATGAAGTTTCGCTTTGAATACGGTACTGGAAATTGTTATTCAAATTATGTGATTAATACATTCAGCTTATGTATGTAACACACTGAAATTTTGACATCGAATGAGAGCTTGAACCTTTCTTCTGATTCATTCCCTTCGATAGACAACGTGAAGATGGCATGCGAGCGTGATGATTTATCGTTCATTGCTGTTTCTCCTCTGCTTCGAAGGTGACATCCCTTTTGCAGGAGTTTCAAGGCATCTTCAAGACAGGATACCGGATGTACTGATAATCCCTGCACCTGGAAAGTTGAAAATCTGGAATCCAGAATTACTGTGTCGAGCAGAAACCTGCAATCAAACTCAAGAAATTGAATTTTTATTACAAAATATGCTAAAGAAAAAGAATGTATTTAAAAAATTTAGTGCATACAAAAACGACTCCTTTTGACTCGCGAATTTGCAAACATTCCCGACTAATACAAAGTAAATCGATGACTTTCTCCTCATATATCTCAAGCATTGACGCTGTCACTCGATGTTTATCTGATGCTCCAATTTGTTTGAAAATACCATCCACTAATCGCGAAATAATTCCACGCCCCTCGTTTGATGCGGTTATCTAAAGACAAATTTATATTGCTATTCTAGCTTCGAATTTCAAAGTTAAACTCTCAATAAAATTTGCTCCAGTGCATATTGATGCATCATACTCCCTTCAAAATGTTGGCAGCAACTATTACTTTGATAACTCCATCTCATTCTTTGTTAATCAGCTTACCTTTGACAGATTTAATTCCCGTTAGCATAAACTGAAAAATTGCTCAGTTATAGTAGTAATGTAGTAGTTATCGAGAAAGGTGTAACTTTAGTCCCGAAGGATGACATTAAATATTTTTGAAACAGAAAGTTACCGGTCATTTGTACCCTGTTAATACAAAGGAGAGAAAAAAAAACCGAAAAATATTAACCGTTTCTTCAGTCCCCATCGTATAGGTTTTTCCGCTACCCGTTTGTCCATATGCAAGAATCGTACAGTTATATCCTTAATTTGCAATTAATTGAATTTCTTACTTTCAAAGTATCAAAACTACTTGGAGTTTTTGTAATGCAAAGATTCTAAGTCTATATGAAAAATTAAAAGTCATGATGAGTTCTAAAATACAGAGTGAATGAACGGAAAAAAAAGTGATGATACCATCAAAAATTTTTTCCAATAACGGAGCAGCACACGCGTCATATATCATTTCTTGTGATGTAGTAGGATCGAAGATGCTATCGAACGTGAACATTTTACCATTTATGGATATCTAAACAATTGGTTCGGTATATTGCAAAATCTGGGAAAGAATTACTTCTAATACTACTGCAATCTTTTAACTAGTTTTTAATGAAAATCAAGAATTTACCTGATTCTGTTCCACAAAACATTGCACACATTCTTGAGAATTTTCTGCCTTTTCGCGATTATTAATTGGTCGAACTCGAACAACGACCTTAACCGGGATAGCCTCTGTCATTATGTTCACCTAAAATTTGATTGAAATTTGAAGGGAAATAAACGAGAACGAAATGGAGGATATGTAAAAATATGCCAAAGATCAGTAAAAATAAAAGTATATGAAGATTTTATCGCAAACAAAGATTAAAGTGTAAGTAATACATTAGCAATATATTTTAAGTGCAATTTTAAAGCGCGAACGTCTCCTGCCTAAACGAGGAATGATCTTTGCGAGGAATGATCTTTTCTGCAAGAAACGAGAAGAAAAAATACAAAAATATTCATTGAACAAATAATTATGGCATAGTGAATATTTGGATAATTAAGTAAGAACAATAACAAATATCCTTAGGATGATAACTGGCTAAAGAATAACAAATGTGCATCAGTTATCAAAATAACCACCAGAAGGAAAAAGGAAGATTAAAATAAATTATGATCTATAGTTATAGATTAATGGTAAAAAAAAAGTGGATATCGTATAGATGAAAGATATGAATAATATCTTGATGAAAGAAGTGAACAGCATGTAGACGAATGAAAAGAGTGGACATTGTATGGATGAAAGAAAGAAATGGACAACAAAAGGACAATATCTATCAAATAAGAGTAAACAAATAAACATACCGTTTAATTCGCTTCCTCACTTTTAACTGATTAATTCAATTCAATTTCGAATTATTTAAAATATTTTAATTAAAAAAAAAAAAAACAAGAAGTTCTCTGCTATTTTCATAATTTAAATTTTTCCTCATCTTTACGAAAGTTAACTGTATGTAGTAGCACAAAACCAACGTTTATTCCAGTATTGATTGGGGCGGGAAGAGAGAGGGAAAAGAAGAGGAGAGGGAGAAGTAAGGGGTATTTATTCCTCAGTAATTCTGTAGACGTATTTAGAAGTTAAGGTTTTGTTTGTTATCTATGGTCATTTGCTGGACATAATAAAGCTTACAAGAAATTGATGACATCAAATATTGATTATTTTATCACCATTATTTGATATTATTACTTTACCCATTTTCCCAACTATTTCCTTTATTTCCTCATCATTTTACATTATTATCAAATATTTCAAGTATTACTTACCATTTCTTTTTTATCTTTTTTTCTCACTACTTTTATTTGATTTGATGTTATATGCGATGGTAGATTCTCTTACTAATTGGATTATAATATAGTCATTTATATATACTTTTTTTCACATTTGACTAATATTATTTTAATGTATATTTCTAGTAGTTTTATACTCTTTTAATGGATACAATTATTAGTGACTTACTTTATACTTTTTTTATAATCTAATACTTTTAAGTGCTTCTTTTTTTTTCTCTTCCCTCAATTTTCTGATCCTCTTCTTTCATTCCAAAATATAATTGTACTTTTTATGACACTATTTTGCCCTGCATCTTAGCTAATTAAACATCAAATTTTCTTCGAGTGGTAATGAGAGCATTCATTTTATTCGTTTATTAATGTTTGTCTAATTACGTAGGTTATTTAACAATAAGCAAGCTTATATTGGAGTAATTTCTTGTTGTTGGTGTTGTTGTCGTTGCTACTGTTATTGTTATTGTTGTTGTTGCTGTTGTATGCGTTTATTGATTTGTTGACGCGAAAAAAAAAACGATGCTGACGAGAATCGCATTGGTTGGTATTGGCCGGTCCGGTAACATTTATGGTGTTACTCGCAGCAGTAGTGCAGTAGCAGCTATTCGAGCCGTTAATTCAGTGGTGAAACGAAATATGGCAACGACAATCCGTAAGGAACGTGACACTTTTGGTGAACTGCAAGTACCAGCGGATCGTTACTATGGAGCGCAAACGGCAAGGTTGATTACTTTTTTCTGTTATTTTTTAGTTCTACAAACTTCGCTTTTGTTGTTTGTTTTTTGGATGGAAAGAAACGCACAGGTGTTAATTTTTGAGTTAATTTTTCGAGCTAATATGAGTCATATATCATTTTAATGGTGGCATTAACAGTTGAGTGCTGGCGTCAAATACCGTGTAGGTGAGTCAGCTGCTTTAGTGGTCAAGGAAAGGGTAAGAGAAGATAATAAAAGAAGCTAATTGGTGTGTCCGGGAGCTGGTTTACGTGATCATTGTGAACCTTCTTTTTTTTATGTGAACTCACGTGGTACCATTAAAAATCATTTACCATGAATTAATTTAATTTTACAAAAAACAGTCACCATTCGCTGTACTTGAGTTTTGCCATTTAATAAATGAAAGTGTGATCGAATCCAAAGAAACTATGAAACATGATCTTAAAGATGGGTAGGGCTCGCATAAACTGAATTTAACAACATAATCTCTCAGTTTGAAAAGCTTATGGAAGTTCCATCTGAGCCCATTCGCAGTTCTGTCGTGAACATAGCAGTGTTATATGATTTGTCATTAAAGCATATGGATTTTTTTAAGGTTATATTAACTCTCTTATTCTTATTGCTCTCTTATTCTTATCATTTTTGTTTAACGTAAAACTTTGGCATATCCACGGTATACACACGGTCAATTTCAGATCAATGATGAATTTCAAAATTGGTGGTCCAGAAGAGCGTATGCCATTACCGGTCATTCATGCATTCGGCATCCTAAAGAAAGCTGCTGCATTGGTTAACAAGGAATATGGCTTGGATCAGAAAATTGTGGATGCTATTGCAAAAGCTGCAGGTTGGCTTTACTTGAACTTCTTCGATTTATATATTTGTTTCTTTTTTTTTTGCATATTCTTTTAATGTTTCAGACTAATCCAACAAATTTCCTCCAAATTATCCCCTTAATCCAGTTTGCGTCGTTTCCTTGTTATGATTACTCTCATTTTTTTATCTCGAAATAGTCATCGTTGAATAGTGGCATAGTAGCGCTTGGGAAAGTGCTATTTAGTTTTATGTAAAAAAAAAAATGAAAAGAGGCAAGCTAAAAATACGCCATCTTATCGATTATATCAGTTATGCTTTTATCTTCAGTAATGATAAACTAATTTTGTCGAGATTACTTGTCTTATTATCTGATATAATTAGGTAAAAATGGTAGCTCCTTATTTTTTTGTTCCTGAATATGTTGATTAAAACAATAAGGGAAAAAAAGGAATTAATTTCATTCTTATATTTCATCAACTGATAAACCATAGTGCTGCTCGCTGAGTCGTCTATGTCACGTTTGCAATTTCGATGAGAAATATTTAAAGAAATGATTACCAATAAAGTGGTCTGACCCTGGTTATCTAAATTATAATGATGGATAAAGTACTGTCGATCATTAGTGTGTCTTTCTTTTTCAAGAAGAACGAAATTTTTCCATATCAATAATTTTTACAATGAAAATTGCCATTTTTAGAGAAAGGTTAACCTGTGAGGTTGTTTTCCTTCTCCGAAAACATTGAAAAATAGAAACACTGCAACTCCATGCTAAAATCGTCAATTTTGAGCGAAGTAACTGGTATATCTGTCCGTCACCTTGCCAACAACTGCATCCACTACAGGATCATGTAGGCAATGTACTAGGAGTTCCCTTTACTCCGATCTGTTAGCTGTAATTTTCTGCGCAGTTCTAGACATTCAACAGTTAAATTTTTCAAGACTTTATTGTTTTCCAGACTACATTCATCTGCTTTTTCCTTCTATCGATTAGAATATTATTGAATTAGTTTAGATGAAGTTATTGCGGGCAAGCTAGACGATCATTTTCCACTAGTAGTTTGGCAAACTGGATCCGGCACTCAATCGAACATGAACGTTAATGAAGTGATATCGAATCGCGCAATTGAAATGTTGGGCGGTGAATTGGGGTCCAAAAAACCAGTGCATCCGAATGATCATGTGAATATGTCGCAATCGTCGAATGATACTTATCCGACGGCAATGCATATTGCTGTAGCTAGGTTATTTGGTTTCTATTAAAAATGGACTTGATGTTTGCTTTTCAGAATCCTTCCAGAATTTCTGTTCATATCTTGATATCTGTAACCTAGTGGTTCGATTTAGTTTCCATTAATTACCAGTGATCAAACCATGTCTTCAAATCTATTTGATGGTTGGAACGATCGATATATAGATGTACGGTATTTTGTACTGTAAGATTTCCCTCAGCGAAATCAACTTCATTGATAGATTCCAATCGTCTCGATATTTCTGTTGCATCATTTTAGAGAGCTTAATTCCCGTCTACTTCCATCTCTACAACAGTTGCTTGATTCGCTGCGTCAAAAATCGAAGGAGTTTGAAAACATCATCAAAATTGGTCGTACACATACTCAAGATGCAGTACCACTTACGCTTGGTCAAGAATTTGGTGGTTATGCACAGCAGGTTTTTTTGATGATTTATAATAAATATATATTGGTAAATCATATACTGGGTATATTTGGTTCAAATGTGGTAATTCCGTTTTTTGTTTCTTTCTTCTAACAATTTTTGTTTTAACTTTGGTCTTTTTAAGATTTATATCTTCTTTTTTCAAGAAAATAGGATGAAAGAGAGAGACTTTACAGAAATCGTACCAGTGAGCAATTCTTTAACTTCTTCTTCACTATTAGAAGAAAAAGTTTAGTTTAAAATAAAGATTGTATTAAAATAAAATATGTGAATGCGTTGATTATTGAAGGTTGAAAATGGTATAGCAAGAGTGAAGGATACGTTACCACGCTTGTACATGCTTGCTGCTGGTGGTACTGCTGTTGGTACTGGTCTCAATACACGAATTGGTTTCGCTGAAAAAATTGCTGCGTATGGCCTTTTGTTTTTTTTTCTTCAATGGACTAGTGGCTAAATAGTTGGCAGGTATTCGGAACCCATTTCTGACTATGCCATATCCTTATCCGAGTTGCGTGCCAGTATAGCAGTATGCCATATTTAGCCGGAAGATCCAGCTGAATTTTATGAATAATTTTATTGATTTTTCTTGTTTGAAACTTTACGATTATTCCTGTCATTGATTCCCGAAGTCTTTTACCTGTTTTAGAAATCAAATTTGAAATTTCAAGATCAGATTTAATCTCCCATAGCTTTAAAAAATTTTAGGAAAATTGCTGAACTGACTGGTTTGCCGTTCGTTACAGCTCCAAACAAATTTGAAGCGTTAGCAGCCCATGATGCAATGGTGGAGGCAAGTTGTATTTCAGTCTTCAATCTCTAAAATCAAAGCCCTCTGTTGAAAAGGCAGCTGTTGATTGTACTTTTTATAATCTATTGCTGGTTTCTTTTTTTTTTAATAAGATGGTCTTAAATCTAATTTAATTAAAGTTTATTGAGAGCAAAGAGTTATAATTAAAGCGGCAGTTTTGTCTAATTTTAATTTTATGCTGAATATGCATCACATATTGCCACCGCTGAGCGCGATAATGCACAACAATTAATATTGTCTTGGAGCTTAGCTAATATAGATATTGAAAGATAATTTGAACAAAGAAAATTGAAATAAACTGCTTTGAAGGTGCATGGTGCTTTGAATACTACTGCGGCAAGTTTGATGAAAATTGCGAATGATATTCGTTTCCTTGGCTCTGGTCCACGTTGTGGTCTCGGGGAGTTATCGTTGCCTGAAAATGAGCCTGGAAGTTCCATCATGCCAGGCAAGGTGAATCCGACGCAGTGTGAAGCGGTTACCATGGTTGCTGCTCAAGTCTTCGGTAACCAGGTCTGCATGTTTCATTAACTTTGTGGTATGTTTGTTTTCCTGAGAAGGGTTTATTCGGTATCTTTTAATAAGCGTATTGGTTATTAATGAACTAAGGATTATGGCATCTCAAGAATTCTTCGGTGTCTACGCAAGAATTACTTGATAAATTATAGGTCGCGGTTACTGTTGGTGGTTCAAATGGACACTTTGAATTAAATGTGTTCAAGCCAATGATTGTTCGCAATGTTCTTCAATCAACCCGACTCATTGCTGATGCATCTGTGTCATTCGCAGTCAACTGTGTCGACGGTATCAAAGCGAATAAGGTAGAAAGCTTATGCTTTGTATCTGTGAATATTTACTTATTTGTTGATTTAATATAAAATTTTATTCGAGCTGGTATTGTTTATCTGCATTTAATTCGTTTTAGTAACTTCTAAGTTGATGTTACTTTTAATGAAATGAACTAAATAGTATGTAACAACTGATGTATAATTTGCTTGACAATTTTAAATATTACTGTGCTCCAGGAAAATATCGCGAAAATCTTGCGTGAATCGTTGATGTTGGTAACAGCGTTGAATCCCCACATCGGTTATGATAATGCTGCAAAAATTGCGAAAACAGCACATAAGAATGGTACTACTTTAAAAGAAGAAGCTGTAAAATTAGGAATTTTGACAGCCGAGCAATTTGACGAATGGGTACGACCGGAGAAAATGTTAGCACCCAAATAAGACATTCCACGTACAAACATTCCCTGCTATGGCTTTGATTTAAAATGATGATCATTTGTTGTTTGGTAGAAGTTGTTTTTCAGTTATTTTAAAGACTAGCATTATTTGTTACAGCTTTCGCATTCTTTTTGGTTTGACATGATTCATGCTATAGGAAAACTTTAGGAAGTTCATTCAAATTCCGCTTTTTACATTAAGTCTGATTCCAATTCAAACAATCCTTTTTACTTGGCTCTTTCGTGGATGAATCAGTTTTTCCTTGTAATGTATGCAGAATATATACGTGTCGAAAGGTAATGTGCATTCGTTGCAGGAGGTAGTATTATAATGTTTAGGACGATGTATATGCACATGTTTTTATGCATGATTCTGTAAGTAGAAGTTTTTAATTATACTGCCAACGTGGCATTTAACTTATCGTTCAAGGTTATTGGTTTCTAATAATAAGAATAAAATTTTCTTTCAGTACTTTTTGTTAATTATAAATCGGTTGAACCAAGCAACTCTTCAGTAATGATTACATATTACAGGTTGGGCGTAGAACTAAAGTTTACTTTAAAACCTATCTTAACTACCTTGTCTGGCAGTCAAATAGATGAAAGGGTTAAAGGGACATGTCAAATGTAATTATTACTGTAATTTTTTGACTGCTGGTCTGTCACTTTTAAAAATGGTTCTATAAATAGCTGGTGGTGCTAGTATTTTTCAATTTTAAAGTTACAAAACACTATCACACGAAGTGTGCTTTATATTATCATTACAACCGCCGTGGATATTCCAATCAATAATCAGTACTTTTAAATTGAAGGTATTTCAAATATAAGGAACGAAATTGTTCAGAACTAATTGAAACAAAAGTTTAAATGTTATACTTCCCCTTGACATTTGCAATTCATTAATTTAAAATGAACAGCCACACAATTGATGAACGATAAAAGCAGCAGTCATGTGATCAATCTAAATATTGTAAGATTAAAAAACAATATTAAGATTAAATTGCGATTTATCAACAACCACAACAACACTATCGATGAATGATTGAACAATTAAGCAATGATAGAATCAGTGCATGGAATTAATGAATAGCATGAATCAATTGTATAGTTGTGTTAGTTAAAATTTTCTAGAAATTCTATGATTTAAGTATGATGTTTTGTTAGGATGAGTATAATGAATTGATTGAAATAAATTGAGTAATTAATATTGGAAATGAAATTTGATATCAGTTCATTTTTGAATGAAGTTTAATACCAATTTTAACATTACTAATCATGCCGTACTGAATATTCGACAAAGTTTTGTTATTTCAATAATGCCAATATAAAAGTATATTGTACAACATTGTTATAAAATGGATAGAAAATTCTAAGTAACAATATAATTTATGAGTAATGTGAAGTAATGTGAAGTTTTTTTCTTTTATGTGTGTGTGTTAAATTACCCAATCGTCTTGTTATACAAATTGTTTCTATTATCTTCATCTTAACCTGTCATGATATTTTTTTATCAGTATTTTTGAAAATGATAATATTTTCGTTTTCATAAATAATGTTTTGAAATATTTCAAAATTTATCAGTTAAGCATTGCAGTGCTGTAAAATTCGTTTATAAATTATGTCTAAGAAATCAATTAAATGTATTGATTTGTTAATTAATCTACAAACATTAAAATTTTGCTTAATTATTTGTAAAGTTAATTGAAATTGATTGGGAACAAATTCAATTATCGATTTCATATGTGTCCATTATATATATATATATATATAATGAGGGTGAGTAATTTATTTCATTTTAAATATATACCGTTGTAATAATTCGATAGCAGTTATTTCATCTGTATTTTTATACAAATCAATTTGCTGAAATTGTGAAGAGATTTTGAAAAAGTACAACAATCATAAATTATCGACAAATATTAAATCACAATTTACAAGTAGGTCATCGACCTTCTCGGGCTATTAACCATTTCCTCTTTATTCACCATTATTATATTAAAAAAAAAAAAAAAACAGGAATAGTATAGACATAAAACGGATA